ATTTATGTATGTATGTATGTATGTATGTATGTATTTATTTATTTATTTATTTATTTATTATTTCAATAGTGTTTATATGGTGTTGGGAAGCAGTCTAATGACAGCCCCGATGAGGTCACCACAGGAAGAGTCCGTATCCTGGGTCACTCAAAATCAGAAACAGACAAGCTTTGTCCCTAAGTATTTATGCTTATGTTGTCCATCTAGAAAAAAACAGAACCCATTCAACTATAGCAGAGAAAGTACAGGCATCTAGTTGGACTCCATCTATGGCAAAGTGATGCCTATCTTCCCAACAACCTCAACTTGCAGGGTGGAGAATTTTTTCCTTACCTAGCCTGTCCCAGGCTGCATCCTATTTACTGTCTTCCACAGAACTCAGGAAAAGCTATTTAGAATGGCATCTGTGGGTTAAATCCAATGTTAATCCTAACTAGAGTAGACCTACAGTAATCAGGTGCACCCATGTTACCTGATTGAGTCAACAATTCTGCAGGATGAACAGTAGATTCAGCCCTAGCTGTCAGTGTTTCCTGACAGGGTTCTGTTTCTTGGTCACACCTGAGCATCTGACTCACTCTTGGCGACTACAGAGGTAACTCTCAACTTATCAATTCATGCTGTTCTTTATTTACTCACAGAATAAACAACTTATTATACAAGTCAAACAAAAAGTTGTAATATGGCATTATTGGAAAGCTTAGGAGTTAAACCTGTTTCCTGTCTTTAATAATTCCAGAGATACAGAATCACACTTATTTCTGTACAGTTGCATACCTCTAGCATGGAGGCTGTTTCTTGGTCATCCTAGAGGTGTATTTAGGCATTTGCCAGAACACACTGAGAGCTTAAACTGGGGATTGAGATTGCACATGCAGTGCCAATGCCCTTCAGCATTGGAGAGCTTTGCAAGTGGAGCACCAAGGTCTGCAGAAGGCTCTGTAACTAAGTTCATCAGTAAAAACAAACTGACCTCATGGTTACACAGTGCCCTGCAGACCAAAGGTTCATGAAGGGTTTTGATGCTACAGGGTACAGTGCCCTAAATAATGTGAGGCTTGCATGCATTCATATGTCCCCATTTCCATTTTAATAAGCCCTGTTTATGCTCACGTGAATATCTGAACATATCTAAGACTTACTGAATGTAGGAAAATGGGTTCTGTATATGATGTGACATTCCTGCGATCAAAGATGCTTATATATCATGAGTAATAAAGGCAACAGTCCCTACATAGTCTGTCCACTGGTTTTCATCATCACTGGCATTTTTGTTCTTGCAACTCATATGCCAGGGCTATTTATGGGGCTTTGCAGTGCTTTCAATCAGGAGATGAATGAATAGAACGGTAATATTATAATACAGAGAAGTAGCAATCAGAAATAAACAGGAAAGCTTGCTAGTATTTTGGTGAGGCAAAATTCCCAGCAAGAAAATATCAAGCCCAAGCAAGGAAGCAGGAGTGACTCATTATGGCCTCTGCAAGAAACAGCAAAAATGGCACTATTCTCAGATAAACAAGCCAATGTTGTTGATGTTTCAGCTGTGAGTTTAAATAAAACACTTGTTAGGAAGTAACACCCACGAAGAACAGGGCCTTACTTAAACACAAAAACGCACAGAACTGTGATGTCCAAATGAGATACTATAAGACAATTGAAGCACTGCTGCTCCATCACCTTGCCTTCGTTTCATTTCTATAACACAATATTTAATCTGATATCCTTCTACTGTGTCTCTCCTCATCCTCTCATTGGCTGGTAGGGAGTCAAGACAGTGTGATGATTCCACATAATAAGCTCTTTGCAGTATACACAGCAGGGTAAAGGTAAGTGAGATGATAAAAAATGATGGACAGTTTTCCTGTTGTGGAGTTTTGCTGGTGCAGTGGAAATGACATCACCAGTAGTGACAGATCATTTTTCTCTTTTAAAGTGCATGTAATGAGATGAAGTAGCATGCACCCCGAAATCGAAAATGGAAGAGTCTAATTAGTTACCAAGAGTACCTTTTTCAATTTTGGGGTGAGTGCAACTTTGTTCCACTGCATGCAAGTCACACACACTTTGAAACTGAAAAAAGAACTCGAATTAGTGCCAAATGCTGGAGACGTCACTCCCTGTACCAGTATAGCTCCTCAAGAGGATACTGTTCAATGCAAACATAAGGGCTTTTTAGAAGAGACAGAAAAGACTATGAAGAGTGGCAATAGAATCTCTCCTAAAACTGAACTTAGATGTGTGTTCAGTTACAATGACAGGCCGTGTATCTGATTGGCCTGACAAAACCTCCTAACACTCTGGATAATCAGAAGTCCAGAAATGATAGCAAAGATACTGGCATATCATTCATTATACATAACAGTTTTGTGACTATGATGAAAGGAAATGAAAATGAAAACAGCCATTTCAACAAAGTTGCTGCAACGCTTTTTTGCTAGTTTCCTTTCAGATCATCGAACCAACCCTGCTTTTTCAGTTCCTGAAGCTACGCTCATGGAGCGTTTATAAGAGACCAACATGTATGCTATCGTAATGGCTACGTGTGCCAATTTATATCTGATTTTATTCTTGTATATTTTTGCTCTTACATATTTGCACAGGACCTCGGTTTAGTTTCTCCCAATAATAGCATTCTTCCAACTCAACTGAAGCCACTGAAATTAAATGCCAAACTTTCAGTTGGCTCAGCTGATCTTCAAATGAGACTTTGCATTAAAAAAAATGCAAATAGCAGCCATAATTTAAAACCATGATCATTTACTCTGGCCATTCATGGTGTGGTTGTGTTTACATAAAGCTGCCCTTGCTCCCTGATGACTTTCCTACACTACGAGTTCATCAGCATTAGCTGTAGTCCTTATCAGACTGTGACAAAACCAGAAAGAAATATACATCTGGAAATGAACAATAGGATGTGGGATGTCTTATTTATGATAAGCACAATTCCAGAACTTCATATTCATGAGCTTGGTGCACATTCATTACTCTTCCCGCTGTATCAGTTCTGTCATTCCTATCACAACAAATTGAGACAATAAGGCTATCTGTTATTTTTCCAATAGAAGTACAAACACTATGCCAAGTTGGTAACATTGTCAGCTACTCTATCAATAAAAGCAACAGTATCACAAATTCAAGAAATAATATAATCCTCCCCCTTCCCCATCCTGCAGGATAAGGAATGAAATTATGCAAACTAATAAATGGTTTAACTTTTTAAAATTAATGCAAGAGTAAAAAGAAAAAGTTTAGAATAGACCTTTGTTGCTCAAAATGGCTGGGACACAGAAACTATGATGAAATGCGGAAGACCAGGGAAGAATGCATTGCAGATACATGTTATTTGGCCTGCATAAAGAAATAAAACAGATATGTGGGGAGGGCTGCGGCAGAATAACATTTATATGCAATTTTCTTGTTCTGAAAATACTATGATTTGATCTGTTCATATGGAATCAATTCATCTTTGGCCTGAAAAGAACCTCCCTGAGTATGATGATCAGCTGAGGGTCCTCTACTTCCTACCTTCCCCCTTCTGTGATTTTCTTTTTTCCTTTATATGAAGGATGAGCCAGTTATACAGAGGGCTGCAACTGAAGCAGCTGAGTTGATGTTCACCTGTCAGAGTCAAGCACTTCTAGCTGGACAGAGGGTTCTGACTCAATGGGCACGTATTTACAGACCTTTGTGTTCTTTGGAGTAAAACCTGCTTGGTGTCCTCTGATCAAAGCAACATGTTATCAGTTTCATCAACTTATTTCCAAAAGGTGTGGGCAACCTGTGGCTATACACATGTTTTGGGAGTGGAACTCCCATCATTCCTCACCCTTGGCACTGCTGAATTGCAGTCCAACAATATCTGAAGAGCCACAGGTTGCCCTCTCCTAGTTTCAGCACTTAGATTTGCCAGTTTCCAACACAAGCCTGGCTAACACGTGGACTGCAACAAAGTGCAGCTGGCAGGTCTTTATTTTGTCAAATAAGAGCTCAACACAGGAAGGATTTCCTTGCTTCTTATGAACGGTGTTGTTAAATTGGGATTAATCCCCTCTCCAATTGGTTTTAAGCTCTAGGAGTGAGAAATGAACATTTACAGGCAATTAAGTTCCCAAGCCAGCAGGAAAATTGCTTCTACGGCTGGAGGCCCTGACAAGCTCTACAGCTGCTGAGATTGTTTCCTAGTTTGGAAAACAATAACACCACCAAAAAAGCCCGCACAGAAATCAGAACTCCTTTTAGTTTAAAAGCTGCAAAACATCCATAATAAATATTCTACAGTCGTGGTCTTACCAGGAGTCACAGAGAAGCACAACAGCATCATGAGAATCAGGCTATGCAAGGGTTCATCCTGCAGGCGCAGGAGGATCTCAAGAGCCTCTCTCACAGAAAGGAAACTGATTGCCAGACCAGGAAAACAGGAAATGGCTATGAAAGGCAGAAATTGAACTCTTGTTCACAGGACTAATGGATCAAAACAGAAAGAAATGCTTTTTCTTCTCTCTCATGAGAGCTCTGGAAAACCCGAAAGGGAACAATTTTATCTTCTACTTCAGAACTGTATGGGTGCTATTTGACATCATACAAAACATATGATAAGAATAGAGGTACCAGTGAGCTACAGATGTTACTGTTACATATCATACAGAAAGAACAAGAAGAGGAACTGAGAAAGAGGGAGAGACAAGAAGTAATTTCTTAAGGAACAAAAATGGGGACTGGAGATGGGACAGGAAAAGAGGAAGAGGACCCAGAGTAGAAGAGATGTTAGTCTGCTCTTGGCCAGGAGGCTCTGAGGAGCCCTTGCCAGTGTAGCTGAAGTCAGATATATATGTGCTTCGGTTCATTCAGAAATAGGAGCTGTGGGATGGGGACTTCATAAAGCCTGGCCAAAGCACAGCAAGTCACAACTAGGGTAGGCCCATCCAAATCAATGAAACCTATGAGGGTTTTCTCACCAAATCTGCACTGATTCAATGGGCCTACTCTAGTTGTGATTTACTGTGCTAAGCAATAGGATTTCAGCCTATATATATTACATACATTTATATAAAGCAGCCAGTTAAAACTAAGAGAATTTGCTGTCTAATATTAACCCCAGTGTGCTGGGGATCAAAATAAGAGAGACCGGACAAACTCAATTAAAGCCTTTGCATTATACTGTCGGTGTGTCTATCTGTTTAACTAAGCACAACACCACTCCCTTCTTCCTGTTGTAGATTCTCAAGATACAGTCAAACAGGCACCATGCCAAAAATATGCATACTAAAGAGACAGAGACACAACTGACATGATAAAGCATAATGATGGGGTGCCAAGCCCCACTACTCACAATTATGTCACTCTCTCTGGTAACATTAAATATAGCAAATAGGAGAGACCAGAGTTTTGAAGGCCATCATCATAATTCTGTTCTTTTAAAACTAGTGTTAGTTTTTTTATATATACCAAACTGCTGGTACAGTGGTGCCTCGCTTAACGAGTGCACCGTATAGCGATGTTTCCGTATAGCGATCCCTTTTTCGGGATCGCTGTATGGAAACATATCCGATTGTCGCAATGGGGAAAACCCGCATTGCGAAGATTGGGTATTGTGGTGGCCATTTAGCGAAGGCGCGAAAATGGCTGCCGGCAATTGGAATCCTTGCTGAACGGGTAAGTAAGAAAGGTATTGGAACGCATTAAACTAAGTTTAATGCGTTTCAATACATTTCCCCTACCCGTTTAGCGACGATTTCGCATAGCGAGGGTTAATCAAGAACGGATTAACCTCGCTATGCGGGGCACCACTGTATATAGAAAGAAAGAGTGAAAGAGTGAGCCGATGGATGAAAGAAAGAAAGAAAGAAAAAGAAAGAAAGAAAGAAAGAAAGAAAGAAAGAAAGAAAGAAGCATAAAAGGAGGTAACTTGTAGGCCCGGAAATATATTCCTCCAGCAAACAATGCCATGGTTGAAATAGTCATGAAGAGTCCAAATTAGGAGAATTGTCTGTCACTTTCACAACTCCAGGGTCCTTCTCCAGACTGTGACTTAAATTTAGGGTTGAAACAGTTATTTCTTCTCCATCTTTCATGTTCATGATGCCACTGTTTCCATCCTTTTTGTCACCAAGTTTCTCAGAACAGCTTTCTAAACTTCCTGTCTCTTCCACTACAGGCTGGGTCTTATGTGCATGTTCATTCTCTAGGTTGGATGGCTCTGTGGAATCCAACAGATGAGGGCTGGGCAAGGGGGATTCATCTTCAGATAAGCGGTTGAGCTGCGGCTGACATGCTGTTTGGCTCGCTGTTGAACATTCTGCTCTGCTCCCGTCCACCTCTGTGGCTGTCTGTTCCTCCGTTAGCTCAATTGTTTCATTCCCAAACTCATTTCCATCATCTTCCTCAGAAGGAAACTGGGGTAATGGTGGATGAAAATGATTGCGTTTGTCACTGTTGTTTTGTTTTATAGAGGGATCGTCAAAAACTTCAGCCATTTCCTCTGCAAGTGACGATGGGGTTTTAGCAGTACACTTCTCCAGTGCCCTAGCTTGTTCTTCTAGAAGACAAAAATTAGAAAATGTAAGGATTTTATGGACATAATTTTGCAGTTTCAGGTTCTTGGAAAGGAACATGCAACCTAAATATACATAGTGCAGACAGTAAATTAACTTGTAGCCTTGTAGTCTTATAAATAAATTCATCTGAAAAACTGTGTTAGAAGACAGTTTTTGCAAAAAAACAAAACAAAAACAAAAAACCAAACACACACACACACACCAAAACAAATCAGTGAGTCCTAGATCGTATCAGGGAATTCCCAGTATGGTGTAGTGGATAGAGTGATGGACTAGGACTCTAGCAAATAGGGTTTGAATTCCCGCTCACTCATGGAAACTCACTGGGAACTGGTAAAACCACTCTTTAAATATCTCACATACGTTGAAAGCCCTGTTAGGGTTGCTGTACATCAGTTCTGACTTGACAGCACAGAACACACACACAGATCAAATCAAGCCTGAATGCTCAATAGAAGTTAAAATGACTAAACTGACACTATTATACCTTGGCTATAACATGAGAAGATAGGAGTTATACTGGAAATGACAATAATGACAAAAAAAGTTGAAGGCAGTAGGAAAAGAGGAAGCTTAAAATGAGATGGACTTATTCAACAGAGGAAGCCAGAGCCTGAGCAGGGCTCTTAATAAAAGGACTTCTCTGCAGGCCTTAGTTTATAGGGTCCCCGTAAGTGACTTGTGGGTCACAGAACAATAGCAAATTTTCAGGGAAGAACATTCTATTCAGGAATGATGAACTGAGAAGCACTTCAGATGTTTGAAGACAGCTGAAAGGGTCTCATCCACAAAGATATACAAGGAAAAGAATAGGACCCTCCCCACCAAGGTTATGTAGCATGAGAAGCAGCACAGTTATTCATAATTCTTTTTTCTCTCTACCGCCTTTGAACATCCCAAGTGTCTGTAAGAGAAAGTTAGAATTTTCTGTTCTTATCAATGAGATAGTTCAGATACAGCAATCTGGGTCTAACAAATATCGTGCCCACTTGCCCATTCATTCTTCTTCTTGGATCACTTTAGTTCAATATTCTTGTCTGTAGTCTGTGATTAAAAACACATTTACTAAACCCCAGAAAATTTAATTTGGAAGTATACAGGGGAAGCCAGGAGGGGGGAAGTAACAGATAACCACATTTATCCACCGTCTAATAAATTAAAGTTTAATAAACCAACAGCAACTGGCTGGATAGCTCAGCATGATGGAGTACTGGGCTGCAGAGCCAGAGTTGGGGAGTTTGAACCCCCCAGTGTGCCTCCTCAAAGAATAGCCAGTATTGGGCAAACCATATAATCCTGGTGGGCCACCGGAATAAGGGGCTGGTTAACTACTTCTGAGTATTTTTGTATATAAGATTGACTTGAGAGCACATAATTATTATATATTATTAGACCAATGGCATTTCCTCTGATCTGGCCTAATGCAATACATTCTACTCACTCAATTTTAATTAGACATATAATTGCCAACCAGGTTCTTGGATCTATGCATTACCTGAGCAGTGTGGGAAAAAGCAGTAATACATGGAGTTTATGAAACACGACAATAAATTAAGAACTAGACCTTACAGCTAAAGGAAAGAAGCATTAAAGGATGTGTTAAGCTGAGAAATAAAAGCTAAACTAATTTCTGGCTTACTTGAATTCCCATTACACTGTTTGAGAATGATAGTGAGTCTAGAGACAGCCTGAGGCAATGACTAAAATGCCTGAGCCTTCTTATTAATTAGTGTGACAACCATTAACTATTATTATTTCATAAAACCACAGAATAATGAAGTTGGAAGGGGCTTATAAGGCCATAGAGTCCAACCCCCTGCTCAAATCAAAGGATATCTGCCAGGAGGTGGTTGTCTAATTTTATCTTCTAAAAGCAATTGGTTCCATTGCTGTAGTGCTCTAACAGTTAGGAAATTTTTCTTGATATTCAACCAAACGATGGCTTTTTGTAACTTGAGCCCATTGTTGTGGGTCCTGCACTTTGGGATGACCAAGAACAGATCCTGCCCCTCCTCTCTAAGACGGTCTTTCAAGTATTTGAAAAGTGCTATCGTATCTCTCCTCACTTTTTTTCTCAAAGCTAAACATACCCTGTTCTTAAGTCTTTCCTCATAAGGCTTGGTTTCCAACCCCTGAATTATCCTTGTTGCACTCCTCTGAACTTGTTTCAATTTCTTAGCATCCTTCTTGAAGTGCACTATCTCAAACGGGACACGGTACTCAGGATGAGGCCTAACCAGTGCCGAACAGAGGGGAGCTAGTACGCTCTGAGATTTGGAGACTATATTTCTGTTAATGTAGCCCAAAATAGCATTTGCCTTTTTTGTTGCCACATTACACATTGCCTCATATTCAGCCTGTGAGCTATGAAGATTCTAAGATCCTTTTCACTTGTAGCATTGCTGAGTCAGGTATCCCCCATTTTGTAACTGTGTGTTTGGTTTCTTTTTCCTAGGTGCAGTACTTTGCATATCCATGTTGAATTTCATTCTGCTCTTTTCAGGCCAGTGCTCAAGAGTATCTAGATCATTTGAATTTTGTTTCTGTCTTCTAGAGTATTAACTATTCCACCCAATTTTGTATCATCTGCAAATCTCATTAGCATTCCCTGTATCCTATGATTCAGGTCATTAATAAATCTTTTTCGAATCTCCTGCCATAGGACCTTACTTATCAGTGTCCTAAGTTTAATAAAATTGGTTTTCAAAAAATTGAGCTTGTATGTAAGGCTACACTCTGCTTTGCTTTCCTTTGAAATCAAAAATTCTAGTAGAACATGGTCAGGAAAAAAACTACTTCAACACAATACTAGTAGGAGGATATATTCCAGACAGTTAGCACAAGCAAGTATAATAGCAATACCTATGCCAGGTAGTGACTCCACAAAAATCTACAAAAGTGGAATCATACCACCTTATTGAGTTCCTCAACCAGAAAAAGCAACTATTCATCTGCATCATGGCCACAAGAACATATACTACAGTTTTCCATGTATAAGAAACCCCCATATATAAGGATCCCCCAACTTTTCTAGTCCCAAATTAAGAAATCAGTATTTTAAACATAAAACAGAATATGGTTGTTGTGGGTTTTTTTTTTGGTCTGTTTGGCTGTGTTCTATAAAACGTAAAATACAATACATTTTAATTTAGTAATTAGGTAACATTTACATACCAGTATCGTCAGGGATGTATTGGCGCTGCGGGTTAAACCGCAGAAGCCTCTGTGCTGCAAGGTCAGAAGACCTGCACTCATAAGATTGAATCCAGGAGATGGAGAGAGCCCCCGTCCCTTGTCCCAGCTCCCGCCAAGCTAGTGGTTCGGAAGCATACAAAATGCAAAAATGCAAGTAGATAAACAGGTACCACCACAGTGGGAAGGTAATGGCGTTCCATGTATAGTCGCGCTGGCCATGTGACCACGGATGATTGTCTTTGGACAAAACGCTAGCTCTATGGGTTGGAAACGGAGATGAGCACCATCCCCTAGAGTCGGACACAACTGGACAAATTGTCAAGGGGAATCTTTACCTTTACCTTACCATCATATATTATGCATCAGACTTAGCTTTGACCATATCACTTTATTCAGTCTCTGGGCTCAGAACACTCCGACATTACCCTGTTGCATCTGAGCACTGCCTACATGCTCCACATCCAACAAGGTGTTTTCCAATAGGTCATATTCTGGGTCAGCATTTTCACATAGATCTCATTTATATAGGGAAAATAGAACATTTTATTTCATGTGCTTCACTTTCTTTTTTAAAGAGATGTATGTTGTCCATGCAGCTTTTTCAGGATGCATGCAAGACAATGTTCCAAGATATCTGGGTGGGTGGATTTCAGCCCTTAGACTTCAAAAATATTTTTTTTTTCTGGAAAAAAAGACACTCACAAGGACACTTTCAAAAAGCAAACTTTGGAAAAACAAAACTAAGGGGCCTTGAATTCATAGAAGATCAAAATAAGAATAAAACATTTGTGCAAACAGTCCAAATCAGGCAATGTCAACACAGCAGCCAATAACGGCAAGCATTGGAAGCCTAAGGTTCTAATTTTAGCAGGATTTACAAAGATCACTACTGTACCACTGATAACTGAATACAACAAGATGGATGAGTAAAGTCAAGCTGTAGATGAAGTGGAGATGGCTAAGAGCATAAACTATGAATTGCAATTATAAATCTCTTACTGCTTTTGAATCTAGGCATGCCACTCCTTCTCACCAATGTCCCCTTCAATATAAGAATAATGAGATATAAGAATACTTTTTTTTCAGCACTGTTCTTTATTTCTTTTTAATGGTTGTAGTAGTTGTTGTCTTTGTCCCTATGTGGCAGTCATTGAAAAACTAAACTCAGGATTCTGACCCTATTTCTGTCACCTTTTACTTTTTGCTTCTCAGCTGTCCTTTACAATTTTAAGTGTTTCTTCTGTCACCCATCTAGAATTTTTGTCTTTTTACTACAGAAATTGGCTTTTTGCATTCTTCACTAATAGTATTTCTGGTTTCAATCCACAGTTCTTCTGGTTCATGGTCAAATGAGTTTAGTAAAGCAAATCTGTTCCTTATGTGGACTTTAGACACCAACTAGTATAGTACGCAAATTGTGGTCATGTGTTGGCCCCTATTCATTCACCTAAAACACCTTGATTCTCCCCAAACACTCTAGATCAGTGTCTGATGTCAGCAATGAACTGAATGAGGGTGAACAAATTGAAATTTAATCCAGACAAGACAGGTAGGTGCTCCTGGTTAGTCGAAAGGCAGATCAAGGAATAAGGATTCAGCCAGTATTGGATGGGATTACATTCCCATTCAAAAAACAAATGCGCAGATTGGGGGTGCTCCTGGATTCAGCCCTGAGCCCAGATCTCAGAGGTTACCAGGGGTGCATTTGCACGATTAAAACTAGACTGCCAGCTGTGTCTGTTTCTTGAAATATCTAATGTGGCCACTGTGATACATGCCCTAGTTACCTCCTAGATGGATTACTGTAATGCACTCTATGTGGGGCTGCCGATGGAAAGTGTTGGAAACTTAAACAGGTCCAAAATGCAGCAGCCAGATTGCTGACTTGGTTACAGGGATTACATTCCCTCCGCCCATTACAGCAGCTCCACTGGCTGCCAATCAGTTACCGGGCACAATTTAAAGTTCTGTTTTTAACCTCTAAAGCCCTAAATAGCCTGTGTCTTAAGCAATCTCAAAGACCGTATCACCCTCTATGAGCAGGCTTAGGTGTTAAGTTCATCATGAGATGTCTTTCTCTCAGTCCCACCACCTTCACAAGTGCATCTGATGGGGACACAGGAGAGAGCCATCTATGTTGCCGTACCCAGACTTTGGAACTCCCTCCCACTGGAGGTCAGACTGGCACCATCTTTGCTATCCTTCCGCAAGCAAGCAAAGACCTTTCTCTTCAGGCAAGCCTTCCCTCAGTAACCAGCTACCTGTGTGTGATTTTTAGACAGATTGTTATGCATTACTGTTTTGACTGAATTGTTAGTACTGCTTGTGTCTTCCATTTTTGTGTTTCTACTTCTCATAAAGACATTTAATTTTTTTGTATTCTTATTGATCTTTATCATATGGCCTGTTAATTGATGTAAGTCGCCTCTTTATTCATTGCTCATAATTTTTCAATATTATCTTGTAATGATGTTAACCACTGTTGTATACTCATTGTTTTCAACTTTAAATACCTTCTTTCATTGTTGTAAGCCGCCTTGGGTCCTTTTCAAGGAAAAAAGTGGGGTTAAAATATTTTAAATAAATAAAATAATAATAACACTTCCCCTCCCCACCACTAATAGGCCATGTAAGGACTGTGTTCAAGTTGAAGACAGGCCCAAAAGGTCAAAATAAGATTGGCTGAGATGCCATAGGGAGCTGCTTAGAAAGTCGGAGTAATAGAAGAAACACAATCATGAAGGGAAATGAAGCCTTAGCAGAAATGTTACCTCTATCAAGTAGCTGAGGAATGGGAAACTATAGACCAGGTGATCATCTTTTGCAACAGAACAAGAAGACCGCATAGTCTTTCTTACAGTTTACCAACAGGTTAAACAATCCCTACTAGAGATGGTCATGAACTACCAGATCAGTAATCCATGCCCGTTCGTTTACTGCTGCAAGAGGTGTTTGGCGGTTTGACAGGTGCCCCCTCAGAAGCACCGTCCTGGCTTTCCTTCCCTGCCTCCTCTGGGTATTGCTTCCTAGTGGGGCACCCAGAGGGACCAGGGCACCAAACTACTGAACACTTGCTGTGGCAGCAAACAAACTGGCACAACCTGCTGAACTGGCTAATCGTGCCCATCTCTAATCCCTACTTATGACAAGCATCTCAGAGAAAGGTTGTGTGAACAAGGCTCAGATTCCCCCTGGACCCAGACGGCATCGAATTTATACAAAACAGAACCCTGCATTTTGTTTTACCTTTCAAAACTGTGCAAAACTAAACACAGTAGTAGGAATAGGAAGGGTAAATACTGGTATTGGTAAATAAAAGGTAAACACTTTCATTTCTTATGAGGACACCGTGGTGAAACTTTCCTCTTGGCAACATGTGCTTAAACTCTATGGGGGAAAAAAAGAGACCAAAGAGTTTATGCTATGTTCTCCCTATGACCCTGGATGCTCACCTTCTGTCTTCTCTTGTGGCTTTTCATTGAAAGTTAGCAATGGAGACTGAGACCTCTGGATGACAGGAAGAAGAGGGTCACTGAACATTATGGTATCTTTGCCACCTGCAATTTAAAGGACATGGAAACATTAACTCAGCAAGACAAATGACGTATGCCTTTTCTTCATGATAAACAGAACATTTATATTCAAAGAAAAAACACTGTATCTTACATTAAGATATCACTATATGTTACAGAGTAAAATGATCTCAAAAGTCATTAGTTTCAGTGACTCTGTTCTGCAGGAAAGAAAATGTTGTTTCAGGACCCAAAAATCTCCAATTGAACAGTATTAAACCGAACAAGTACATTTTGTGCCAGCATGTGTAGCTTTGCCTCTACAGCTATCTCATAGGTCATATTCTGGGTCAGCATTTTCACATAGATCTCATTTATATAGGGAAAATAGAACATTTTATTTCATGTGCTTCACTTTCTTTTTTAAAGAGACTCCTGTATATTGTCCTTGCAGCTTTTTCAGTATGCATGCAAGACAATGTTCCAAGATATTTGGGTGGCTGGATTTCAGCCCTTAGACTTCAAAAACATTTTTTTTCTGGAAAAAAAGACACTCATAAGGACACTTTCAAAAAGCAAACTTTGGAAAAACAAAACTAAGGGGCCTTGAATTCATAGAAGATCAAAATAAGAATAAAACATTTGTGCAAACAGTCCAAATCAGGCAATGTCAACACAGCAGCCAATAACGGCAAGCATTGGAAGCCTAAGGTTCTAATTTTAGCAGGATTTACAAAGATCACTACTGTACCATTGATAACTGAATACAACAAGATGGATGAGTAAAGCTGTAGATGAAGTGGAGATGGCTAAGAGCATAAACTATGGATTGCAACTACAAATCTCTTACTGCTTTTGAATCTAGGCATGCCACCTTCTCACCAATATCTCCTTCAATATAAGACTAATGAGATATAAGAATAGTTTTTTCAGCACTGTAGAGATTACTGAGATCACGGGGCTCCTGAAAAGGCAGTCTATAAATGTAGAATATTATTAGATTAGTGCTGCATTCTATTTTTAAGAGCCAGTCTCCCACAAATGAGAAGTGCCTGCAAAATTATGGAAGCATCTTTTGTACAGCTGATTTTTGTAGGATTTTTCTATTGCTTTTGTGTTATCAGTAATCCAAAGATAAAACCAGACACTTAGGAGTTTCCCTGTAATGAACCTCAGGAATATAAAGAACCAATAATATATAAATAACACCTATAATGGACTAATATCTGCAATCATAAAACATATTAACTTTCTGTTTCTAGCTAGAAACACCCCAAATGAGCCCTTTTTTCAGTATTTATTGACATTTGTCCTTTCAGAGTCTGCTCCTTGTCTCATTTCAAAAGAAAAACCAGCGTGAGTCACTTCTGAAAACACAGTCATAACCCTTCTGGGATAAGAACAATTATGTGTCTAGAGAGTGTTTATCAAAATAGCCCTATAGGCAATAACACAGGAGATGTCAAGAACGCTGATGCTAATGGATTTTTTGGGGGGAAATGTCAATATTAAAATAGCAATCTATTCTTATCCCAGATCTAATAACTCCTTCTTGCTACAGCTATCAACATAATCCCATTAAAGCCACGATTCCATGGACAATTATCAAACTAGAGAAAGTATATGTCTGTCCCACATGATGTTCACACACCAAGGGAAATTTCCTTTGACATAGGGAAAAGCTATTAGAAATAGGATGGGGGGAAGCGAGAGATGGTTTAAAAAGAGCAACATTTCTCAGAACAACAAACAGATGATAGCCATATTATGCCAAATCTGAAGAACTAAATATATGTTATACACAAAGATGTGACAGGGCAGGTGTAGTCCTCCAGCTGATACTGTACTCCCAACTCCTATCACTCACAACTAGTATGGTCAATGGTCATGGTCAAAAGAACAGCCCCTTGTTCTCAATCTCTGCAACAGAACCTTTTGTTTGAAAAGGCAACACAGGCTGGAAACTATGTTGGTGCTGGTGGGGTACCCTGGGGCAAACAGGCAGACAGTAAGGCAAGAGATAAGTATGCTTTTTCTAGACTCTGTTGCTTCTCTAAGAAAAGAAAATAAACCTTGCCTCTAATGTACAGGTTTGTATGTTGGTGACTGAAACCCAGTAGTACTGTATTTTTCTGTGTATAAAACAACACTTTTTCCTAAAATAATTAGAGGAAAAATTGAGAGTCGTTTATAAATGGAAGTCAGAAGGAGGAGGCAGAGACTGAGGCAAAAGAGCAGACGCGCTTGGCCGCCTCTCACGGCTGCTCATTGACTGCTGCCGCCACCACCGGTCCACCTCCTCCAGTGATCATCTCCTTTGGACAGGGGACAATTCGGTGACGTGAGATGGAGGTAAGCCCTGGCAGGAGGAGGTAGCGATTGGACGGTGGCGGCAGCAGTCAATGGGCAGCAGTGAGAGGCGGCCGAGGTTAACTGCTTCTTTGCCTCCCTCTCCGCCTCCTGCTGCCACTGCCATCTCCTCCAGTGCCGCTTGTGGGCTCAGCGGCAGCAGCAGGAGGCGGGGGCAAAGAAGCAGCCACGCTTGGCTGCCTCTCGCCCATTGACTGCTCCTCTGCCTCCGGCAAGGGGTAAAAAATTAGGGGGTCGTCCTATACATTTGGGGGGTCATATACACGGAAAGATACAGTAAGTTGCAACTAGAGTAGGTTCACTGAACCAATGGAACTTACACAGGTTTTGGCTCACCAAGGCCCACTGAATCAATGGGCCTATTTTAGTTGTGACTTCCTACTAGATTTCAGGTACTATGTAGCTGCCCTCTCAGGTAAGCTATATAGTACTGTTTGTCTAACTACACATTGACACCAGCGTGTCACAGCTCTTTCCTGCAGGACCAGGCCACGAGATGGAACCCTTGCAACTCTTCCCTGTGCTAGAGTCTCCCCCTCTCATGAAGGGAGCACTTTTGGAACAGGGTGGAATCAGAGGATGCTCACTTCAAAGTGAAAGGTGCTTCTAGTTTGTTATTGCCTTGTGAGAACATAAAACACTATTTTGATCATGTCATAAAACACAGAGAGAAGTATCTATGCATGCAAAAGTAACAACTGGGAAAACCAGGTAAGTTGTAGCCTCAAAAGACCAGCCTCTCTCTCTACTTGGCATTTTTCCTTTACAAGACCTAATGGACGGACATACAAGGGTCTAACTCTAATTAACAACTGCAGCACATTAATCCATGCTTAACAAATGAAACCCAAAATATGACATTGGTTCTACTCAAATGAAAGGATACAAGGGTGGCTTTTGTTCCTAGCTACATATTTGTTCAGGATGATTCACACACAAAATATCTGAGTCAATATTGGGAATGCTCATCCGATAAAAGGTTATGTTGCACTGTGTTAATAATTTAAGAGTAGAATTAAATCAGCTACTGTACATTTATCTTCAGTAAGATCAGCTGTACACTAAATCTTTGGCACATGGATTCTGCAAAAATGGCATCCTTGTGGTGACTGACAGCCTCCTCCCTTAAATGCCTTAAAACATCTACTGAACAAAGGCAAATGTTAGAATGATGTCTTCTACTGAGACAGACTATCAGTCCACTCTAAGCAGTTATTTGGAAATGTCAGGAATAAGTCACCTTGCATGTACATCTTTACCTCTGAGCTATGGGGCCCCCATTATTATACACTGCATTGACAGCCATCACCACAAGTAATCTTGGCCCAGCAGCAAATGTGGGATATGAGCAGGAGGTGGATACCTAGGGTATGGTGAACAATCCATCAGACAGGAGAGACAGTATTTGCCAGGTGTCATTTTTGGCATTATTCATGCATCAAGGGAAATGTGTACAATAGCTAAAAGGGCCATGATACACTAAAAACTATTGAACAACTTTCAGTCAGTGGTGAAGAACTGTCTACAGTCTCCATTTACCATTAGCATCTGTACATTATGTTTGCATTGAGAAGTTGTAAACCATAGGGAGCAATCTTCTGGAACTGAAACATACAAAGCTATCCTGGAGGGCTATTTCTTAATCACCAAGATAAAAGAGTAAAACTGTATTGAATTTCTGCTTAAATAAAATAAAGTTAAATAAAATAAAGTCAAAAACACAACATTCTGCAGAACTCACAATTTTTATATTTAGAAGAATTTAATATCCTTCCTCATTACCATTTCACCAATTAAAAATAATTTTACACATTAATCTCTGTTTCTCTTGTGGCCATCTAACTTAGTTGAACGTCTTAATCTGACAGCTAGAGGGGAGAAAAGCCACATAATCAGATAACATTTCCATTTATTTACATGCAGTGACAATACTTAATGCACCGCTAAGATTAGTTACTAAAAATACATATGTCAAACAGAACGTACTCCCAAATCCCACTGAGACATTGTAGCTCAGACCTTCAGGCAGCAAGAAAAAGAAAGAAAGAGAACAGTTATTATATAAATATTAATTTAATGTCTAAACAGAAACAATAGAAAAAGATACTGTGAGATCAAGCCTGTCTTATCACTGCTCTGTTTTAAAAGTCTAAAACACTTTATTTAGTGGATTATGAACTCCTTGGGAGAGAAGACCAAACTAAGAGTGTGAGCAGCAAAATAAACTGACTTCAAAGAAGAAATTATGGCAAAAAAGGGTGTAAAACAACGGCTTGCAGCATGTTTGTAAATAATATTTTGCTTTCACCATGATTAAGCATTACATCCACACCCAGCAAAGCATATTTAAAGTATTTTCATGACTGTTTTGTTTGCAAGTTGACAAACAGGCCTTACTGTTTGTCAGCTTGCATGTACATAATTTGTCTCTCCCTGTACATAATTTCTTGACAGTAGGGTTCACCTTGGCTTTACTATTTGATGTCTTAGAGCAGGTTAAATCAACAAACCATGATATCTGGCTTTGAAAAGGGTCAAGCTTCGGGCACCTGAATTACAGGATACAGGTTGAACTGGCTGTCAGAGCACAAAGGTAAGAATCAACTGTGTGAATCAAAACAGGCAGCGGTCAAGCTGAAAGCAGCAATGAGAAGGGTAAGAGACAGTTACATAGG